CTGGCACAAGCGTCGTGGTGACGTCACCGCCACTTAGTGGCCAATGGCGGTTGTTGTTGGAGCAGTAGCGCAGTGCTCAGCAGACTGCTACGAATGCAACGACTCGAGTTTGAGTCCCTGCCATGAGTAACATAAGTGCGAGCGATACTGAACTGGGTCTGAGCTCCTCCATTTTCGACTCGGCCTTAAATGAGGACCCGGAGCAGCGCGTAAACATCACTACTAGGGAAATAAAGATGACCGAGTGGTTCTGGCCAGACCATCCCTTCGTGTGCTGTTCCAGCTTTAATAGATGATTGCCAACAGCACTTGCCACAGCAGTCTGTATGGCTCTTGAGATGATCTTTCAAGTTGTGTGTACATGGTTATGCACTATGAGAGTAGTACATGTATGTAAGTGTCACAATCAGAATTTTTGCACATTGAAAAGTTTGGGCAGTGTACACATCTGTTGGCTTGTTTCAGCTCGGTCTAGACCATGACCGTTGCTAGTGATCCATTTGCACTTCCGGTGGCCCAAAAGTTCACGGAGCCTCGGGCCGGTGACCATTGCCCAGCAGTAGAGCGTTCGCCGCTTGTTGAAGAGGTTCATGGTTAGAATCCAGTGACCGCCCCGGTTAACACTGCGGCATTAACCATAAAATATGCACCGTCTGGTTCACAGTGGACGTTAAAGATTCTGCTCAGTCATTTACAGGATTAGGCCACTGTCAACGTAATGATCCAGGACTGCTTGGCAGAGTGGCTGGCAGGAGGAATGGAGAGAAAAATCAGCACCAAACTAATTCCTTATTGCAGATCCTACAGTCTGCCTACCTGGCTGCAACCTTCCATGCCATCAGTTGGCCCTATTGAACAGCCTCCAGAGAGGGCAAGGTCTCTTGCAGCCAACCTCCACCGTTGGGGTCTTCGTGACAACCCATACTGCAACTGTGGCACTACAAACGATACGACGTGTTGTTGTTGTCCACTCAGCTTGGCGGAGGTCTCCACGAGAGCCACGCGTGGGAATGTGGCCACTGAGGAGGTTACCGCACAGCTCGGCAATTACACACTCGCTCAATGGAAATATACAAATTTAAATATTACCTGAAAAGTCCTAAATTTAAGTTCAAATGTTCCGTTTATTTTGATTTGTTACACAGTTGATCCCGTTTAGCCAGTAGTTTGGCTATTTTACAAGGGATATCTGTGGTGCTTGAGCACAGCAGCAACAATAATGCACACAGCAGCAATCATCACTCTGCCAAAACTTGGCAGGACCTTCCTGAAAATAGTGAGGCTTTGCTGGGCAAACAAGCGGAATAATAAATGTAATACATATGCACCACGTAGAAATTACTGCCACTATAATAAATGGCAACTTGTGTGGTCGTTTGTCTTGGTCGGGGAGTCATGGTGGAATAGTTATTACGCTTGCACTGCAATCCTCGTGAATGAGGTTCAGCTGCTGGCATTGGTACGAAAGCGCAGAGCTTGAACTCCACACGCTCGGTGCAGAAGGTGCGAGGGAGGGGATCCAGATTTAAGGAGTGGGCAATCGGGGTGGAAATCCACGATGCACAGGTGTCAGGGAGAGGGACTAAGAATATATGAAGAACACCAGAAATCTGCATTCAGTGTAAGAGATTAGAGATGCAGATAAACAGCTACATAATCCTAGAGAGATGGAGAGACAAACACAGACAAATTGAGAGATGAACGGGAAGACAAAGAGACCTAGAGGAGATATAGACATACTGCGAGTCTGCTACCATCATCTCAACTATATTCTTGGTTCTTTCGGTAAAGTCACGTAGAAGGGAAACAATTAAATGATAAAAATATAAAACAATAAAATTATCACGACGTTTCGACTGCAACACAAGCAATCATCATCAGGTGTGAAAACCACAGCAAGAAAATTTGAAAAAAGTGGCGGGTTTTTTTTAACGTTAGCACCACGGAGAGCGATTTGGCAGTTATTGAGACGGACGAGTCCATCTATGTTCGGAGAAGAGGAGGGGGGAGACGAAAATAATGGATGTGGTCTGAAAGCCACCGTAAGCGTGAACAATCAATTAAGACCCGAAATGGTTTTATCAAATCCTTCCAATGATTTCTAAGCCAGAATCCATCTTCTCGGTTGAAATTGTCTCTGTGTTTGTATATGTGGATAGCCTCATGAACGAATCTCTCATGGTAGCCAGATGGCTTGCAAATACCCTCTGTCTTGGAGAAGTCAATGTCATGTGAGCCTACTGAATTATAACAGTGATCTGCCACGGCCGAGGTGTTGGTCCTACCGTGTTTTAGGTCTGCTTTGTGTTCATGAATGCGGTCTGAGACATGTCGTGTGGTTTCTCCAATGTAACTACTACCACAGAGGCAACTTAGTTTGTAGACGCCAGGGTACTCTATGTCCGGAATCACATCTTTTACAGACGGAACCAGATCACGGATTTTATGTAATGTGTTGAATCGGACCTGGATCTTGTGTTTATTCAAGATTTTGGAGATCTTTTTTGTGATCCCCGCAATGTAGGGTAAAGTGATGGTTTTGAAAGGCGCCTCAAGAGGGTCCTTCTTCATGGTTGGAGTGATAGCTTTGCGGATTGTGTAGTCGGAGTAACCATTAGCCTTAAGAGCTTGGTGTACGTGCTTGAGTTCACTGGCTATGTGTTCCTGGTCGGATATGCATTGGGCTCTATAGTGCAGAGTCTTGATGAGGGAATTCTTCTGGGATGGATGGTGGTGGGAATCCGGTTTCAGGTAAGCATCCGTATGGGTAGCTTTCCTGTAGACAGAGTGGCTCATTGAACCATCAGGTCTCTTTTTTATTCGAACATCCAAAAAAGGTAGCTTGCCATCTTTTTCGACTTCCATGGTAAATCTGATGGCTGGGTGTATGGAATTGATGTGGTCGAGGAATTGGTCGAGAGCAGGCCGGCCATGTGGCCAGATGACAAAAGTGTTTTCCACGTACCTCTTCCATAAGGTTGGGCGCAGAGTGGCAGTCTGGATGGCGTCAGTCTCAAATTTCTCCATGAAAATGATGGCTACAACCGGAGATAGGGGGAGCCTATTGGGGTGCCCTCAGTTTGTAGAAAGTTCCATTCCAAGTGAAGTATGTATCGGTTAAGCAGTGTCTCACCAAGGGGGGTACCTCAGTGTTTAGTCCTTGATGAACCAAGTCTTCAATGATTGCGATGGTGTCAGGTACAGGAACTTTGGTGAATAAGGAAATATCAAAACTGACAAGCAGGTCGTCTGGGGACAGGGAAATACCCGTGATTGTCGATACCAGGTGAGTAGAAATTTGTACCGCAGAGGTGGTTTTTCCAGTGAAAGGCCGCAGGATTTCAGACAGAAAACGAGCCAGTTTGTAGGTGGGGGAGTTGATAGTAGAGACGAAGTTCCTGTACCTGACACCATCGCAATCATTGAAGACTTGGTTCATCAAGGACTAAACACTGAGGTACCCCCCCCTGGTGAGACACTGCTTAACCAATACATACTTCACTTGGAATGGAACTTTCTACAAACAAACTGAGGGCACGCCAATAGGCTCCCCCTATCTCCGGTTGTAGCCAACATTTTCATTGAGAAATTTGAGACTGACGCCATCCAGACTGCCACTCTGCGCCCAACCTTATAGAAGAGGTACGTGGATGACATTTTTGTCATCTGGCCACATGGCCGGATGTCCTAATAAAAAAGAGAGCTGATGGTTCAAGAGCCACTCTGTCTACAGGAAAGCTACCCATATGGATGCTTACCTGAAACCGGATTCCCACCACCATCCATCCCATAAGATTTCCCTCATCAAGACTCTGCACCATAGGGCCCAATGCATATCAGACCAGGAACACATAGCCAGTGAACTCAAGCATGTACACCAAGCTCTTAAGGCTAATGGTTACTCCGACTACACAATCCTCAAAGCTATCACTCCAACCATGAAGAAGGGACCCTCTTGAGGAGCCTTTCAAAACCATCACTTTACCCTACATTGCGGGGATCACAAAAAAGATATCCAAAATCTTGAATAAACACAAGATCCAGGTCCGATTTAACACAATACATAAAATCCGTGATCTGGTTCCGTCTGTAAAAGATGTGATTCCAGACATACAGTACTCTGGCGTCTACAAACTAAGTTGCCTCTGTGGTATTAATTACATTGGAGAAACCAAACGACATGTCTCGGACCGCATTCGTGAACACAAAGCAGACCTAAAACACGGTAGGACCAACACCTCGGCCATGGCAGATCACTGTTATAATTCAGTAGGCTCACATGACATTGACTTCTCCAAGACAGAGGTTCTTTGCAAGCCATCTGGCTACCATGAGAGATTCGTTCATGAGGCTATCCACATATACAAACACAGAGACAATTTCAACCGAGAAGATGGATTATGGCTTAGCAATCATTGGAAGGATTTGATAAACCATTTCGGGTCTTAATTGATTGTTCACGCTTATGGTGGCTTTCAGACCGCATCCATTATTTTCGTCTCCCCCCTCCTCTTTTCCGAACATAGATGGACTCGTCCATCTGAATAACTGCCAAATCGCTCTCCGTGGTGCTAACATTAAAAAAAACGCCACTTTTTTCAAATTTTCTTGCTGTGGTTCTCACACCTGATGATGATTGCTTGTGTTGCAGTCGAAACGTCGTGAGAATTTTATTGTTTTATATTTTTATTATTTGATTGTTTCCCTTCTACGTGACTTTACCGAAAGAACCAAGAATATGAATCCCTGCAGTCACGAAAGCTTTAAATCATCTCAACTGTTAAAGTTGCCTGTGAGAGTCATTCATGAACAATCAGTGTATCATCCTGTGCACCACCCCTTGTGAGTCCCACATGAGAGTTATCCCATGAGTCGTCCATGGCAATCATCCCTCTGAGGTACCTTTGAGTCACCCTGTGAGAGTTGCCCTGTGAGGGTTGCCCTGTGAGACTTGCCCATGAGTCACCCCTGAGTGTCACCCTTGATGTTCCTCTGCTCAGTTTGTCCCCGGGAGGCGACGCCACAACTGCTGCTGCCCGAGGAGGAAAAAATCATCATGGAGGAGATGAGCGGAAATGGACAGACGGTCATCGAGGAGAAGTGAGAGTGTGTGAGAGTGAGTGCGAGTATACTGTGTGCACTGTGTGTGTACGTCTTTTTGTGTCAACATGTGTATATATGTGTACGCGACTGTGTCCACGTTTATGTATATAAGTGCATGTGTGTATATGCAATGCTAGATTTGAAGCTTTCGTGACTGCAAGGATCCATACTCTTTGGTTCTATTCGGTAAAGTCACGTAGGTAAAAAATAAAACAACAAAAATCACGACGTTTCGGCCACAACACAAGTAGCCTTCTTCCGGTGAAGGAACAGAACTGTTGGGACGACAGAGCTTCAAATTTGAAGCCCTGTCTGTCACCTGAAGAAGGCTACTTGTGTTGTGGCCGAAACGTCGTGATTTTTGTTGTTTTATTTTTTACCTACATGACTTTACCGAATAGAACCAAAGAGTATATGCAATGCATTTGTGTGGCTGATAGTCCAAGCCAGTCCCTATTCACATTGGGGTGCAACAGGGATGTCCTCTGACTCCTACATTATTCAATATTTTTCGACCATGTAGTTCGAGCTTTCCATGGCTGTACCAGAGGAATTCCATCTGATACAGATACAATGGTTGGCTGATTGATGCCCGGGTGTGGTTAAGGGATGGCTCCCTACTGGTCAACCATGTTATGTATGTCGATGATCGGGTGGTTGCTGCTCACTCTGAGTTGGAGGTTTTGCTGCTAAACCTGGAGCATGCCACTAAGAGGTGTAGGGCCTTAACATCTGCCCCACCAAAACTAAGCGCCTGCCTGGATATTTTGTGTCATCCAATACTCCACCCCCTAAACTCCCCATGGGTGATAGGGCAGTTGTTGAGAGATTGGAGAAGTTTCTGTACCTGGGTAGTGTGCTTATGACCAACTCCGATTTGGCAGCAGAAATCTGACTCCAAATCAGCCGAGCAACATATTTCGTCCTGGTCTAACAGTTCATACGAAGCTCTGGGTCGGTTTGAAACTTTCAGGCTTGCCTGCCTATGATCCATTCTGGGTTTAACCAGGCTGGATTATGTGAAGAGCTCACATATCCTCGATAGATCTGGACACATTCCCATTAGTGAGCGCCTCTGGTGGGCAAGACTGCGTTGGCTGGGCCATGTAGCCAGCATGCCCAAGCAGCTTCTGTTTGACTAGATAGAGGGGGCTAAATGGGTAGGGCATGGGCTGGAGAGGAGATGAACTGATGCAGTACAGGATGCTGTGGAGTTTAGTGGACTTTCTAAACACTGGTACCAGCATTGTTAAGATCTGCCTCGATGGAGGAGGTAGTCACCCTCCAACAATAACATAAGGTAGAGGAGCTACGCTCACAACGAGTGCCGGGCGGCTAAAATACAAGTTGGCACAGGTGGTGCATCTGCCAGTTATCTCAGTCAACCCATGGCACCTAGGTCTGTCCTGTCACCTCCTGATATTATATTTGGAGGAAACCATTGCGTATGGTATGCTGTGTGTGTGCGCGAATGTGTGTGCTTCCAGTGGGAAGTGGTAGTGTAGCGGTTAACGTTCCGCGTGGCATATGTGTTGACCCTGGTTCGATTCCCACTCACAGTGAACAACAGTGCCGATTATCTGAACTGGTCCTGGGCCTCCCCTAGGTCGACTCAGCCTCAAATGAGTACCTGGTGTGGTGTGTAAACAGCACCACTAGGGAGACAAAGGTGGTTGGGTGTGGTGCTGGCCACCCACCCCCTTCATAGGTGCTCGCAAACAGCACTTGCTCCTATAGTCTGTTAAGGCTATGTGTGTAATCTTTATTTATATGTTTATGAATGTGTGTGTGTGCATTTAGGAGTCTGGTGGATACAGTGTACGCCCTACGGGACCAGGTTCAGGAGCTCAAACAGGTACGGCGCCCTCATTTACCAATACACAGATCCCTGTGTGAACTCTATGGGCTCTTGGGGCAAGTTCTGTTAGCAGTTCGGCTGGCACGACACACGATGGGGTGGTGTGGGTAGCACTCTGCCTGGCCGCCTTTGTTTTCCCGTGGTTGTTTTCACATCGCACCAGGTATCGTTCCGTGTATACGAAAAGTGCTCCCCCTGCAACATTCCCATAATCCCCTACTCCTAGTGAAAAGACAGGGCAAGCAATGCAGAATTCCAGAAGAGAACAGAGCAGGTGAGTGTTGTGGAAATGATCAGGAAAAAGGTTGCACTGGTTGGGACACGTGTGCAGGACAGGAAAGGGCCGATTTCTTAGACATCAGAGTGGTCTCCACATGCCTGGTGACCAAAAGGAAGAGAAGACCTACCTAAGGGCAGACATTGGGATACTGTCAGGGCAGACCTTGGAGGTCGTATGTCGAATGCGCAGCAGCTGCGGGATCTGGCGGACGGGAGAGAGCGTTTGTAGTGAGAAGCTAGTGGCATCACTTTACTTCACACCCGCTCCATTGCTTGACCCCTACCTCACCCCCTTGTGTGCGTCAGGAGTCCCAGAGGCTGCGTGTGACGCTGGAGGAAGAGAGCCGCGCGCGCCAGGATCTGCAGAAGTTGCTGTTGAGGCACCTAAAGCCGAGTGGAGGGGAAGCAGTGTGGGACGAGGGCAGCACCTAGCCACTTGCCACCTCTACATCTCACCTCATTCACTCATCACCTCACTCACAACCTCACAGACTCATATTTTCACCAACTGAATCAATTACTTTGTGTAAGCAATTCAAAGAGTCAGTGTTTGTCCAGTGTCACATCTCAATATTCCAAATTTTAAACGCAAATGCAAGTTCATTTTTAAATCCTTAACTTTGTTTACTATACGTTAATAATAATCATCCGTGTAAAGATATTCAGATGACGTCATTTGCGAGTCTCAGGGCTCTTGCTTGCCATGTTTGGCCACTTAGTATGTAACTTTGGATGTAAACTGGAGTTCACGGAGAAACTCCACATATCAGAGAAGACTCCAGCACCCATTCGTCTTAAACCTACTTGCTGTACTATCCCTTTGAGCCACCGCCTCCTTATGCCGCATCTTGTATTTTGCTGCACCCATCCCTGTGTGATCCACCGACCCTGTTTCACAGTCGTTGGTGAGAAGTGCTCAGCAGTAAATTTCGAAGTTTGAGAAGCATCATGATTTACTGCTCGTGGTCACTTGATGTGGATCCAGCTAGTACAGCTTGATCTCATTTGCCCCCCTGTAGCTGCAGAAGAGCAACCCTAAGGACTCGAGAACTTGCGAACCCTTGTATGGTGGGTCTTATTGCTATTTTGCTGCATGGTTAGTTTTAAACGTGGATTGTGTATTTATATCTTTATACCTCTCAGCCTCCTGTGAGAGAGCGCCCGCTGTAAAGGGAAGTGCACGCACTGTGAGAATACAAAGGCCTCTGGCTCTGACCATCATTCACACTGAGCGCTGAGGATGCTTCCTTGTACAACACAGAAACTCGCTTCCCAAAGCAGACAACGTGTGTCCGGGTCTTCCTCAATGACGAGCTATCACTAAAATGTAATTATGATTCCATCGTTTTGTCAGTCTAACACAGGCGCTTGTCTCGGGTGGCAAATATTAGAGGCGAGCAATAATACGTGTCCTCGACAAGAGACTGCACTTGTTATGTCTTTGTGACGACGCAGTGAGACAAAGCCACCTTTTGACGAAGAGAGGAAATTTAAAAAGCAAGTTGAAATGGCTGCATTCGTCTTTACACTGTATTCACGTGGTGTGGGTGCTTGGGCTTTAAATGCCATCATCTCTGGGTAATCTGTGATTGTGGTAAAAACTAACAGTGTTGAATGTGTGTGAAGGAACGCGACGCTCGGAGCTCTTGCTGTGGAGAACACTTGTTCTGGGCAGTGGCATTCAGAGCTGGGTGAGATCAGTATTAGGCAGCACTTGGCCAGTGGGATTGGACAGATACAATAGACAGAGAAGCAGACAGCGGCGTCTTATTGTTACCCAATACTCAGTGCGCACAGCGTGAGGGATCCTGTGCAAAACTTGGAGCCACCGCAACATAAGAAACCCATTACCTCTTGACAGCGCACTTCCTGTGTTGTGTGAATTTACCAATTATTATTCACACATTCATCTCAGAGCATTGAGCTTAGTCACCCACTAGGGATGCGACAATCCCCGTTCAGGAACTCGTATGTGTGGCACTTATCCGTTGAGGTCTGGGCTATAGATGGGATATTGAGTGTACTGTGAATCCACATTATCCACTAAAGGTTACTGTGCTCTGTGTTGCGAGATAAACACATCACTGACCCAGCATCTTCAACTCTTCCTGTGACCAAATTGTGATTTCGTGCCTTAAATATAGTCAAGCCACCTACCTAACCTGTCAGAACATGTCCATAAAATTCCATCTAGGTGCACGTAAGCTACTTTCACGTGTCCAGGTATAGTGAGCATATTAATGTGAATTCATACAGTAACACTGCATCTAGGACGTTTCCCTCGTTTGTCTTCTTAAAACCAATACATTATGATGTGTTCTGAACTCGGCTTCAAGACTGGTGATTGGAGGTGTGAAACACGATGCATAATGACATAAGTGACTCACCTCCAGCCTCCGTCACATTATCGTAGCTAGTCTTATTAGTATTTCATATAATCTCTGGGCTGGATTACGTAGGTGCTATTGCCAGATGATGGGGGTCACTTGAATGGTTCGTCATCACCCCTGCAAAAAGACATGGTACATCCCTCCTCCACACCAATGTTCTTTGGAGCGTGTGCGATAGGGGTGACGCTGTGATATCGTGAGGCGTCTGTGCTGCTTGTGAACCTGGGAGGTCTGAGTGAGTCTATGACCTTAGAATCGGGGTTCTGGAGCCATGAACAAGGAAGCCGTGAGCTCCAAAAACGAAACGAACGGTGAGACGGACCTGTTAAGTGCCGGAGGTTAGGCTAGAAGTGCAGGGTTAAGTGGGAGGGTTTGTGCTTGTGACCGATGTCTAGTTGGTTATCGTTAGGGGTAGGGTTAGTGGTAGTGGCTCGTTGTCCAGTTCGGATTGGGAGTGGAGCTGATGCCAGTTGGCTCGTGTGCCCCCTTCCCCTCTTCATCGCAACACGCGTCCTGTTCGGCTTGTAGTTCTCTATCGCAGTTTCTGGTGCCCAAAGGCGTTTCACTGCAATCTAAAACGCGTCGCGACTGAGAATCCCTCTGAGCAGGGTGGGATCAAGAAACGCGTACAGGCGGCTACTTTAAACTGGTCACGAATGTAAATTGAGTTGAGTCGGAAATCGGAACCTTAATTGCGTTACAAAATATCCGTGCTGCTGTCGATGCCGTCACTCCACGGCTGCTGAGCTCGTGGCGTCCTGCAGCTGTGGACGGGACTCTGGATGCGTCATGGCAGCTCCTGTGAGTTGGTCTCAAGGGCAAGGGTTTCACGTAGAGACTTTACCACATAACCATGAGAAGAACAGCTGATACCTGCATGAAGGTTTCACGTTGCTTTATTCTCCCTGGGGCTTGTTTCACCCATCGCGTCCATTTCAAATGAAAAAGACTTGAAATCCTCTTAACATTTTCTTGATGCGCTCCTCCCCCCCCCCCCCCGGCCTCGTGTACAATGGTTTAACATGCAGCCACATTCAGACACTGTATAAATCCGCATTGTGAATGGAATTCCCATTGGGGTTGCGAATGAACTTGTCCAGTTTGTGGCTTTTACTTGTGTTACAGGAGACAAGAACAGTTGTCTAGAGCAACTAAAGTGTAATTTTCTGCTTCGTCTGCAACTCAAAGTCATTCAGGTTATGAGAAACCTAGTTCAAGTTGCTTTGTGTAACTAGCCACAAGTCCCAGGTTGCCTTTGTGAATCAAAACAGGTTTGGAGCTTTCCTCGGTTATCCTCAAGGTGACACAAACGTGAACAATGCAGCCTCACACGGGTAGTGTAACAAAGATTCAATCTTGAAAAATTTGCACTTTTGTTGCTGTGTTTAACCCGCATTGTTGGATTCCAACGCCTTTCATCCACTCTTAGCGCTGATCTCATCTGGTTTGTTATGATTGCGAGGAGACTGCTTAAATGGGAAAAAGACTAATTTTGTGGAGCCACAAACTCATTAACTGGCCTCGCTGTGACCTGAAAGCCGTTTTCTAGGAACCAAAGTTGAGATGTCACAGGGTGGTTCCGAAACCTCTCAGTCTCAACACCTCTCAGTCTCAATACCTCTCAGTCTCAACACCTCTCAACATCAGGGTGAATTTGCAGCTGGAATTGCGTTTCTGTTATGCGCAGCATTAATGGTAGGTAATGGAGCCACCCTGGACTACAGACTTGGTCTGCAAATTAACTTTAGCGGTGACATGGCTGAGCAGTATCGCATTTGCTTTTTGCAGAGCTTCGCGATTTGAATCAAAAAGTTGTCATGGTTAACACGATGGGTGTAGTAACCATAAAATATGCGCCATCTGCTTCACAGTGAACTTTGAAAATTCCGTGATGTCATTTGGAGCAGAGTAGGTCATTGTTTGCCAAAAATGAGATAAATTACTCTGAAATCGCTTAATTAGGAAACAACACTTGTCGCCCCCTGCTTGGCAGGGCCCTCCTGAAAATGTTGCTTGAGACTCGGCGAGTCTTTCTAGGATGAACAAAAGTAACAGTAAAAAACTGTAGCAGCAGTCAATTGAGGTGCAGATGTCAACACCACATGAATCCAATGAAACTTGTTTAGCGATGTGAGGACTTAATCACATAACCATGAGTAGAACAGATGATACCTGCATGAAAATGAAGCCTGGATTCTGATGCAAAATGCATATAACAGGGAGCATTCTTCCGACTGCAAGTCCAGACAATGCTCCCTGGTGTTCCAGTTCCTTTGCAAATGTGCAAGTTTAACACTGTAGTCAGATTGGTATGTCTTATCAGGTGGTCGCCTAGGTTGACTCAACCTGAAATGAGCACTTGGCGATGATCTTGCGTGAATGCTGGTGGTACACACCTCCATCCTCATCCCCTTACCTGCGAAAATCCACGTTCCTATGACAGGGACCAGTGTATCCTTAAGTGAACACAAGGAAACCGTTGACTTCCCTGTAATAAGTACAGCTGCAGCAGGCGGTACTTATTTTACCAACCCTGAAGAGACGACAGTGGTGATGTGATGAAGGGGCAGTCGACCCTGACCAGGGTGTGAACTTACGGTCTGGAGGTCAGGAACTCTGCTCTATTGGCCGTGCTACTGTGAGCGGTGGTGTATCGCTTAAGTATTATGAATGATTTAATTTTAGCTGTGGATAATTGCCTCAAAGGCTCGTGTAATATCATACTGTTATATAAACTCTGCTTATAAATGCATACTTGGAGTTCTTCAGAGTTATTTTTTCTATTACGGTGTCTTTAATAAAGTTTTACTGGTGAATGCGCAAATGTATCTCGCAGTGTGAGTAATTATGGCGTGAGGTTGTTTCCCGCTTCATTATACAGTATCATTTACACACTCCTCACTGAGGAAAATTATGAATGAGTTAATGATTGATATGCTTTTGTTGAGGAAACTCGGCACCGCAGACAGGAGTCTTAACTTGAGAGCAATGTAACAGTGACAAGTCTGTAGAAAGCAGACACCCCCTACTCCAGGGACACGGAGCTCGCGGACTCGGAGAATTACCTTCACGTATGAAACAGTATAGTGTAGATATTGATGGTCAGGCTGTGGCGGTCCAATGAAATTGGAAATGTGTCAATTGGGGGGCCATCCATTTAGTACTTAAGCATGGAGGGGGGTTAACCCAAATGCGTTCGCTTGTGTATGGGGGGGGGGGGGTCTACTGACAATGTACGCATAAGAAACGGGGGGGGGGGGGTGACGCCTCAATAATTTGTCTACATTGGCATTCAAATGAGTTAGTCCGGGCGGTGGACTATCTATTTGCTAAAACACGTTAATATTATTAATCATTGATCGTTTCTGCGTGGATTAAATATCGGCCGTTCTATAGGCTTCGGGGGGGGGGGGGTGCGTCAATCGTACGTACACATGTGTGGGGGGGGGGGGTAAAAAGTACGCGTGCGTACAGAGCGAGGTACGTATTAAATGGATGGCCCCTTGCCGCAAGAGAAGGGTACATTTCTCAGATTAAATTATGAATTCTAATACATCTGTGGTGTAACAGCGCCGGCTGGTGCCCAGCAGCGGCAACTGCGGTGGACGAACACGCTGGCGAGCACACAACACGGCTGTGTGTGTCGGGCAGGGCGGAGGAACTGGGGCAAAGGTCCTGGTAGACCCCATCTGGAAACCCCTGGAACCTTGCTTGTGGGTTCGAGAAGGAAGGAAGGAGCCAGGCCGCGCTGGGTAGTATAAAAGTAGCTGAGGGACGTGAGGTCAGGGCTGCCGGTTTGGGGACTCGTCTCGTCGTCGTCGCTGAAATCTTTGCTAGATATTGCGCGGCCGGAGAGTTGTCGGTCAGCGCCATCAGTGCTGCACGGTCAGGGTTGTGTTTAGGCTAGGCTAGACGACCAAGGAGAGTGCGTGGGCGAACCTGTTAAGTTACGAAGGTATTGAATAAAGGTGCCTCCTGGAAACCCTTGGGTCCGAATCACTGACACTACACATTGATGCATGCGTGAGATCGTGAAATGAGTTGAGCAGAGCGGGCTGGAGCCCAGCGGAACGCTGAGAGCAATGGGCAACATGATGCTCATGTTATCCTGCTCTCATGTGCTTGTCAAGCGTGCATTGCAGGAGAACGGCTGAAGCGCCGAGTAACCATTACGAGGTAGAGTGGTACAGCAGTGGAGAAGCTAACATAAAACAGATCTGCAATTAAATTTTGATTTAAAGCTTTCGTGACTGCAGTAATTCATATTCTTAGTTTTTTCGGTAAAGTCACGTTGTTGTTTCTCTTCAACGTGACTTTACCGAAAAAACTAAGAATATAGATCTGCAATTGTCGGGAAATATAGAGCCGATATATAAGAGACTCAAATGTGAGTGCTGTAGAATATCAGAGGGATGACAGATTTGCCGACTGGAGGAGGAGTTTACTTTTGAGAGGGAGAGACGTGAACATTGCCCCTCATTGTGCTCGGTCACATGTGCCGCGGATTATACGAACTAACAAAAGTTGACCGTAAACCGACAAGTCCGTTAATAGTCATCACAGGTCCCTTCGTCGGACGTTGAAGAATTATCATCGTTCTACACGTTGTCAAGACCCGGTGACACCTGGCAAGTGACTAGCTTCATCAACCATCTGGCTCCCGTTCTGACACCCATCAAGTTGCTGCCTGCGCTGTTACAAACACGGTGTGCGGCGCGTTAAAAGCGGTTCTGAGCACACAGGCAATGGATCATGCAGTTCTAAGCATCTTCAAAGTTAAAGTGTCAACTGGAATGCGCGGCTCGCCAAATATATACACAGTATTTAAAAATAAAATTCGGACCTCAGTGAGGAAAAAGGTTGCCCAGTCGCGTCTCCAGTATCAACCCTTGTGGGCACGGACCCTGCATGCTCGGTACCATCTGGGCACTCCTCACCACCCCAACACCAGCTGCCGCTTCCCGCCAATCCGCGATGACGCAACGCGCTAACAATCATCTTGGCGTGACGTCCCCACCGGCTCGAGCCCCGCCTTTGGCCCCGCCCCTCCCCGATTTTATTTATTTATTTTCTCGTTTCCCGTCATGCTTTGTGCCGCAGTGGTGGCCATCTTAGAGTCGCCTACAAAGGAGCGCGAGCGGCAACGGCAAGAAGCGACAACAACAACAATAAACACCCAGAAACAACAATAACCACGGCCACGATACACAACAGCACAGGCATCAGCAGCAGCCACTCACAGCCACTTGCGCCACGACTCTAGACGCAGCCACGCGCGGCGCGCACAGCCACGCGGCGCGCAGCCCCCCCCCCCGGGCCGCGGTTCATGTTGATGCTGCGCGCGGAGGGGAGCGCGGGGGGCAAGGAGCAGCAGGGGGCGGCGGGGCAGGGAGAGCGGGGGCCAGCGGGGAGAGGGCAAGAGGTGGCAGGATTTAGCCAGAGCCCTCTAGGACAGGTTTTAGGCCAGGGCTCAGGGAAAGACTCGGGGCAAGGGCAGCAGGGTTCAGTACAGGTGTCTGGCTCCGGGAAAGACTCTGGGCAAGGGCAGGGTTTGGAGCCGAGTCCGGGACAGGGCCAACACAACTCTGCTCTGCAGTCGCACCACAGCACCGCTCACGCCGCCAAGAGGTTCAAGGGGCAACAGTACGATCTGGACATGGACGAGGGGCAGCAGAACCAGCGCAGGGCGACCATCTCCGCGCTCGGCCACACTAATGGCCTCACCAAGGCGGCCGCGGGCGGCAGCAGCGGCAACAACAAACCCGGCTCGGCCAAGAAGCTCGTCATCAAGAACTTCAGAGGTGCGGGCCCAGGCAGCTCTGCTGTGTGTTCGTGTGTGTGGAGTGGTTCGCGCACCGCACAACGAACTCGGCCATCTGAGTTCGACTCCAGGTCAATCATTTTATCAGTGGCATGTGGTGGCCTGATCGAACCTATTATACTTTTCCCCTAGGTCGACAAAGCCACTGTTGTGTAAGCATCGCCACTGGGGATACATAGGCTGCCTGGCGTGGTCCTGACCACACCACCCCTTGGTGCAGCATTCCGGCCCCTTAATATATCCTCGCTAACACCACTTTTCCCACCCCACTTTAAAGGCTACATGAAGGATCTTGTGCTGTTGTATGTGTGAGTGTGTGCATAAAGGCTCGCACCTCCGATGAGTACGGTTGGCTACGTGCTGATCGGAGGTGCGAAAGAAGCTCACCATACATTACATACAAACGAGTGTCGGATCTGATTCCTTGCTAAATCATGAAGGCCCCGCTAGGTGGACTCGGCCTAAAGGAGTGAGGAAGAGTTAGTGGAGTTCACTTATGGTCGTCCGTTGTTACTATCACACCGATAACTTGTTCAACTCTTGCCAGCCCTAAGATGTAAACACCACATTCCCATGGCGGGACCAGGCATATTTTCACTATCTCGACAGTTGACTTCCCTCGCAAACTGAAGTCTTTTTCAATGGGGAATGGGTCTAGCTTGTGACATTGTTTAGTGTGTTTGTCCCTTTTTGTTATTGTGTAATGAAGATTGCGAGCGTTTCAGTAATCGTGTGTATAATATTTAATTATATTTTGTGTATATCTAGTATTAATGTATGTGTTCTTATGGGTGATTTGTTTGTTTAATGGTGTCTGTTTTAGTGACAGCATTTGTGTGTGTGTGTTAGTAATGCTGTTTCGTCTGTATTGTTAATGGTGTTTCTTTGTCATGGTGTTTGTGATGTGTCGTGATAGTGAAGGTGTTTGTCTTTCTGCATGAGTGTTAGTTATGGTGTTTTGTATCACTCTGTATCTGGGTGCTTGTGTATCTGATCGTAATGGCGTGTCTGCGATAGTTGTGGTGTGTGTATCTCTGACAGTAATGTGTTTAACTCTGCGAAGAACCAAAGAAGATAGTGAATGTGTTGTGTACCAGTGTCTGTCAAATCAATGACGTCACTAGTCTAATGTCGTAGTGGTGGGTCACGCTTCTATTGTTTTGTGATATGAAACATTTTAACTTTCCTGCTCGTAAAATAGTTCTAGTGATCACATTTTACACAAGTGAAATGTTAATCTCTGTCACTTAGTTTCTTTAGTTTCCAACACAGATGCCAATAAACAGGCACTCCCCTCAATCACGGCCCTTGTATCTATGTGACCCCCGCCCTCCCTCATCACCTAGGCAGCCCTGTCGAGCGAGCCCGGCAGGGGATCTAGGCAAAAAGAGGGGCTTAAAACTTGCTAGGCCTTTAAATAAAACAAGCATCCAGGCATTTGATTAGATTTGTAATACCAACATAACGTATGACAAATAATTATTGTAGCTGTGTTACATTCATTAAGACAAGTGTTTCATATGAGATGCCTTATCGCTGTACTATCCACCTATAGTTATACATGTTGGACCAGGCTTACATGACGCCCACGTTGTCTATTAGGTTGTGTTGGATTTAAGTGTTTTGTTTTCGCAGCGTTGGGTAGTATTGTGTTCAGTGTATTGTTTAGGTTGTGTTGAGTTTAATATGCTTTGTGCTCAGATTTGTTTTGTTGGGTATTCACTTTTATTGCGTTATATTTGTTTGTCATGTTGTGCTGTGTGATGGAATGTTGTTATTTGTGACGCGTTCGCACGCAAGCCTCACTACACAAACTCGGCCACGGATGCTCCCAGGCAGTGAGCGGAGGTTTCCTCACTCACGTGACCATAAATAACTTTCCCTGAGCCACAGTCTGAGGCCGGCATGACTGCGTTAGGACATTTCTCCATCGCTTCACACGGGACTCACAACTGCTCACTCAGCCTCACACGGCGGCTCACCACAACAACAACCGCCA